GTATGCATGGATGTATGTATGTATGGGGAACGGGTACTTGTGAAGAGGGTTTTGTGGCGAGCTTCCGTTTCCACCGCGTCCAAAGCAAGGACGCCTGATGGTGCGCATTGGGTGGCGACTGTGGACAGTCATCAGGGACAGAAATGCGTCAAGGCGAACCGCTCGCAGCATTCGTTTCATGCAGGGACTTGCTGACCTGACTTCGTGTTCTGCAGGTAAGGTGCGTTGTCCTCGCCACTGGAGCAGAACCCAAAGTTGCCCCACTGCCCAATGCTCTTTCAGCTGAGAAGACCTTCGACGAGGCTGGGGTCATGCTAGAACCGGTAGGCTTTGTCGAAGTGTGGAAGCTAGGACTCACTGCGCCACCAGCTACGGCCAAATCAGCGCCTGGCCGTGCTGGGGTCCCTTGCCACCTAAGGCCCTCTCATCAGTGAGAGTTGAAGGATGCAACAGATGCGAAAGATGCACGGCCTTTTTAGGTGTTGCTAGCTGCCAGAGCCAAGAAACCAAGGAACTCTCACACGGCAGCGGTAGCTTTGGCAAAGCTCAGAGCAGCCTGGTCAAAAGCATTGTGGCAGATTGTGGCAGGACAGTGGTCATAGTGAGATCATGAGTGAATGAGTGGGCTTGTAACAGTCAAGGAACTGGCGGTGCCAATGTCACTTTCCATCACCTGCTTTGCGAGACGGCCATTGCGCTGCGCCGAATGGCTGGAGCATTCACAAGTCTATCGCTACAACTCAACAGGACACCTCGTGTCGTGCTGGTGGCAAGAGTTTTCGGATTGAAGTTTGCAAAGATGTGCAACCACCGCTTTTTTGATTTCTCTGCATCTCGCAACATCTAGATGATAGCCCTGGTTGCTTTCCCTTCTGCATACAACAGAAAAAACCTCAGCCGAGTTCAAGCAGTGCTGCAGGATTGCGTTCCATACGCACTTTCCTGTTGAAATGTCGTTACCTGAAGCACAGCGTGTGTTAGGACTGAAAGGCTTCGGCGCAGTGTTTGGTCGGGAGTGCATGATCCATGGCACCAGCTGGCTGCAAGTCAAAGATGTCAAGGCAGGGATGGATTTCTGCGTTGTGACCCGCGTCGCTTTGCAGCGGTGCCACCACAACGAGAAGCCCAACATGCGCATGATGATCCAATTCATTGTACGAACCGGGTTCATCTGAACAACTCTGTCAGGATTTTTCTCCGGAGCAGTGGGACTGGATCATTGACTGTACAGGATATGTCAAAAGTCTGCACCTCGAGGGCAACGGAAGCACGAAAGTAGTGAAGGAAGCAGCGACTAACTTAACCAAGGCCAGCTGCCAGCCATCGATGGTGTGATCAAAGCGCAGGATCTGCCACGAGATGAGGCCGCAGCATTTTTGCCAGCTAGTATAGACTGTGCAAAGGAATCCAGGGAGCTGTGAATTCCTTCTCCCTCTTCGTCCTGCTAAGAAGCCCCACTGCGGGCTGAAGCATCTGGCTGCATTCTGACGCGTACGCCGGGCCTCAAGTGTCAGGCTTCCGGCGCATTGCTTGGTGCTCCTCCAGGGCTCTTTGCCATGGGCGTACCATGGGGAGAGGTGATCCAGCTGCAAATGCTGCGATCTTCGTTTTCTCACGCGAGTTGTTGGGAAGCTTCTGCATTCTGCAGCTCGAGGCACCTGGGCGGCTATGGGGCCGTGGTCTTGAAGCAGAAGATGGCTTTAAAGGCGAAGCGGCAGAGCGCCAGCGCCGTCGCCAGTGCCGTATTGCAGTTGTGCCCACAGCAGCATCCTTCAGACCTTGGCAGGCGAAGACACGTTCGTCGGATTTTCCATGTTCTTTGCCCGAGCGAGCCTAATTGCTGATGAGATCGGCAAAGTGCTGGACTGCAGCTGCAATGGCGGCTGCAAGGGTGCATGAACAGCACTGAAGAGCTGCACGAAACCCCTGTCCAGTTCCAGAGGTCTGCAAAGCAGATTCTCACGAAGCAGCGCTTTCCACCCTCTGGCAGTGAAGCTGCGAGGGGTAAGCAGGTAGTGCTGGCAAGCAAACTTTCAGCTTGAGTGCGTGCTTCAGGCCGCTTCCGTCGTCTGTCCTGCAGTCCCTCTGTCTTTAAACGTTTGCGGAGGAAGTCACAGCAGCTCCGCGAGAAGCCCGCAGAGTGCAAGATAGCTGCTTTGGAAGGCAATTGGCATCTCTGAAGATAGGGTTGACTGAGGTTGATAGGGTTTGCGGGTATGCTCACAGCTGACTACAGGGTCGAAGCGGGAGATGCGCGGGAGATGCGCCTGGGGACTGGGCCTAAGCCGGCTGAGGTCATCGACGACTCTGCCGTGGCGCATGTAGAAATCAGCGGCATCTGCCGCCGGGTTGCAAAGGTGTCTGAGGCTGACGGCGAGCGGTTGCCAACTGCAGCGCTTTCAACTGTGAGCTCTGTCGGCCCAGGCACCCCAAAGTCTTTGGAAAGCGAAGGGTCCTCGGATCTCAGTACATGCAACATCTGCACATGCATGAAACTACGAGCATGTGACACGCTCGAGACCAGGTTCTCAATGCACTTCACGATGCACGCTGTAAAGATGGCGTCAAGGCAAAGTTGCAAGTGTTTGCAATCCTTTAGAATGCTTCAGATTTTGAATGTCTTGACTTTGTCGTTTATCAGATTTTCAATTGACTGGTTGCGATGTATCTGCCAATCGACTGTTATGTGTGCGTTTCGAAGTGAATGTTTGCAGACACAATGAACTTCGCATTGAATTCAATACTGTACCAAGTGCGAGTAGACATCGGTGAGCGCAGGTACCAAACACCTGCATACTGCAACACCGCCACATTCCTTTGTACTACTCCACACTACGCATGCGGTGCATGCGGGTAAGGTTCCCCCGAACACCATGTGCTTTGAAAGGAGGGAGGGAGGGAGGGAGGG